CATAAAATAATAATAAAATATTGTTAAAAGAAGATAAAATAATAATATAAAAATATATAAAAATAATATAATATTATTGAATTTAATTATTTGATAACATTTTCCCCTCCTTCGAGAATGTGCTCCTGCACATTCAAGAACAAATTAATTAATTATTAATTAATTAATAATAAGTAATCATGTGTTACTGCCCCAAAATTTCATGTGTTGTGGCGTAGATCCTTGTTTATATCCGGTTTTTACTGGATTTTCATTGATTATCCATTTTCCTAATCCATTTGAGCACCAATCGGATAATCATTTAACCGTTGTTTAATTTTCCCACATGAATCCATTTTCAAATTTAGACTTAGAATAATCTCAGATTCATATATTTTCCCACGTTGACGAAATTTTCCTTTGTTTTGTTTTTTCATCATCAAAATTTTCCCATCGGTTGAATTTTCCTTGGTGAGAATTTTTAGGATTTTCCTCACTATTTAATTAGTTGTTATTCCAGACATTTTTGTTTTCATTCTTTTCATCATGCCTAGAATTAATCGTATTATTCGTGCTATTAACCATGATAATCCTTTAGTCAGTTGTATCATGCTCCTCCAGGAGAAAATTAAATTTTTAGGTCGTTCGCTTGTTGGTTGTAAATGTCCAGAGCATCAAGCTCAAATTACCTCCTTACAAGATCAAGATTTCCTCCTTCGAGAAGAACTTCAAAAACTTCGTGCTGAATTAGTTTTCCTCGAGAACAGATATAAAGATGTGTGCGTCCGTAACACCCGATTGAAAACTTTTATGCGATCTCATGGTGCCCAATACTGAGAAAGAATTCATTCACTTTTAGAAGCAAATACTACCCGACTCCGTCAACATTCATGTTAACAAAAGGCTTATCAAGTCGAAATTTTTTCCCTTCGAACACATGTTACCCAACTTCAAGATATTTTGAAAGAGAATGAGATTCCTGTACCAGCACCACCTCCTCCTATTCCTTGGGTTTTAGATACTACAGTACGGTCCCCTACTTGGATTATTAATCCTGAATGGTCCAAACTTAATCCTAACACTATTCCTTTTGATAATCCGAACAACGGATAAGTTTGTTGTTGCAAAAACTGTAATTATTTTTTGAAGCCTAATAAAGTTTTTGGTTTTTGTTGAATGGAATATTTTCTACTAATAAGTGACAAGTTGTTGTGTTGCTCATTGGGCCGATAACTTGAAACAAAGGTGTTACTCCGTGAGTCCTTTTGTTTCAATGTCAAATTTTGTTTGTTTTTCTCCATTAGTGTTCCTGTTTGTCGTAATACTCCTCCAAGTATTTTAATCCTTCCTTGGAAAGTATTTGTTTCCTTTTGTTGCTTGGTTTTTTGACATTAAAGAATTTATTAATTAAATTAAAAATTTTTAAAAGGGAAAATTTTAAGGGATAATTATAAAGGGGGTAATATATCCTAGTGCCTTGAATATTATCGTCGATATTTGTGCTTTTGCTATGTCCAAAGAAAAGATAAGTATAATAATAATAATAATGACAATTATTGAAAGAAAACAAATTATTAATGAATAATTTCATGAATGCTATAGCTTCTAACACCATCCTGCGCTAGGCGCTACATGGCTGATCAGACCGAAATCAATATGCTATGGGTCCCTATGTTTCCAAGAACCAAGGTCATCTATAGCTATGTGTGGATTTATGAAATTACCCAGTACAAATGTGAAATTATAAAATCCTAATTAAATAAATAACTATATAAATGTTTGAAAATAATAAATAAATAAATAATAAATATATGTTAAATAATAATTTGAGGTTCCCAAAGAGGTCGTTCGTAATATGGTTTCAATCTCTCCACATTAATTGTTCGTCGTAATATTTTATCATCTTGAGTTCTAAGTTTTAAAGCTCCTGGTGCAATTATGTCGTGAATATAATATGGCCCAGTCCATTTGTTCCTAAATTTGTCACCATGTACCTTTGCCTTTGCCGATTCATAAAGTAAAACTTGATCTCCTATTTGATAAGATATTTCTTTCAAGTTTTTATCATGCCTGTCCTTTTGTTTTTCCTGATTTTGTTGGATATTATTTTGAGCATTTTTCCTTGTTTCCTGTAATGATATTGTTATTCGTTCAATATATTGTTCCAAAGTTTGATCCAAATTTTGATTGGCACCTTGCATATCATCATGTGATTCCATCAGGTCGATAGGTAATTTGGCAGATCTTCCATATAATAATTCAAACGGTTCATATTTGGTCACACTATATTATATAGTACGATATGTCAATAGTGCAGATGGTATAAAAGTATCCCATGAGTCCTGATATTGATGAACATATTTGGCAATAGTTGTACATAGTGTTTTGTTGAATCGTTCAGTAAGTCCATTTGTTTGTGGATGATATGCCGATGCAAGTCGATATTTAATTTGCATAATTTTACATAATGAGTCCACCAATTCATTGCAAAATGATGTTCCTTGATCAGATAATAGTTCCTTAGGACATCCATGCCTACAGATAATATCCTCGTATATAAATTTTGCTACAGTTGTTGCTTTCATATCAGGAATAGCTCGTGCCTCAGGCCATTTTGTCAAGTATTCAGTTGCAACCACTATATATCGATTTCCTTGGTCAGTGATTTTTAAAGGTCCAACTATATCAATTTCCATTCGATCAAATGGATTTCCAACCTTTAGTGGATGTAAAGGTTCGCTTTTTATAGATGGTCCTTGACGTTGACAGGTGTCACATGATTTCACATAATTGGCAATTGTTTGATACATTTTTGGCCAGTAATATCGTGATTTCGACCTCCTATATGTTGCCTCAATTCCAAAGTGCCCTGATAATAAATTTGTATGTAAATTATATAAAATAGTTTCCAGTTCATCAATTTTGATTATCCTAAGTGGTTCATTACTGTTTGATTTGTTTTTCCTGCATAATAAGTTGTTGTAAATAATATAATTTGCTGATAGTTTCCTGAATTGTTTTTGCCATTGTCCAGTCCAGTCAGTTGGTAAATTGCCAGTGGTTAAATAATTATTCAAGTTGTAATAGTCATCCAATTCCATAGTCAATGTTGTTGTTTGTGATTGATGATGATTTGGTGATTTGTGGAGTTGGTAGTCGTGATAAGGGGTCAACATTTGAGTGAATTTTTCCTTTCCTATATACAACCTTGAATGGGTAGTCATTAATTGTAAGAATCCACCTTTCCAAGCGTTTTGTTGGCTGAGGTGTTTTGAATAACCATTGTAAAGCACTATGATCAGTGATTAAGTCAAATTCAGTCATGTAAATATATGGCCTAAAGTATTTCATTGCCCAGACAGCAGCCAAACATTCAATTTCAGTTGCAGAGTAATTTTTTTCAGCAAAGTTCAAATTGCGACTGGCATAAGCTACCACATGTTCAAGTTCTTGATTATCCTTTTGAGCAAGTACAGCTCCTAGTCCAGAATATGATACATCAGTATATAGGATAAAAGGTTTTTCAAAGTCAGGATATGTTAAGATTGGTACAGTTGTTAACTTTTCCTTAAGAATTTCAAATGCCTTTTGACATTGTTCATTCCATTAATATTGTTGATTTTTCCTTAACAATTTGTTCAATGGTTCAACAATTGTTGCAAAGTCCTGAATAAATTGACGGTAATAAGATGCCAATCCAATAAATCCTCTCAACTCAGTAGTATTTGTAGGAGTAGGATAATTTTTCACTTTGTCCACTTTGGTAGGGTCAGGAGTAATTCCATCCTTTCCCACTACATGTTCTAGGAATGCCAATTCATTTTTGCAAAAGTGACATTTTTCAATTCCTAATTTTAATCCAGCATCCCTCAGCCTATTGAGAACTTCTTGAAGGTGTTGCAAGTGTTCCTCAAAAGTTTCAGAGTATACATTGATGTCATCAAGATAAACCAGAACAAATTTTTCCTTTTCCTTGTACAGAACCCTATCCATTAGTCGTTGAAAAGTTGCAGGTGCATTCATAAGTCCAAAAGGCATGACAATAAATTCATATATGCCTTGTTTTGTGATAAAGGCAGTTTTTTCCCTGTCCTTTGGTTCAACCTCAACTTGCCAATATCCACTTGCCAAGTTCAATGATGAGAACCATTTAGCTTTTCCAAGTGAATCCAATATTTCATCAATTCGTGGTAATGGATAAGAGTCCCTTTTTGTAACAGAATTGAGCTTCCTATAGTCAACACAAAACTGTGTTTTTCCATTTTTCTTTTTGACCAAAACTACAGGTGATGTCCATGGACTTGTAGAGGGCTGTATAATATTATTTTCCAACATGTTTTTAATTTCCTCCTCAATAAATTTTTGTTCAGTAGGAGATATCCTATATGTCCTTTGTCGTATAGGTATAGTTTCATTTGTTGGGATCCTATGAGTTTCCAGATGAGTATGTCCTAATTGATCCAATTCATTTGCAAACAAATCCTTGTTCTTGTCCAACAATTCATTCAATTGTTGTTGTTGTTCAGAGGTTAAACTATTTTCCTCCAACTTGTTACTATAACAAGGTTTTTCAATTATATCCTTGTCCTTGTAGAGGTGTTGCAATAAATTCCATTCATTAAATTGGGTACGACATTTTTCACAAATGTTCTCCTCCAATTCCAAAACTTTATCACACCAACAGATAACATTTGGACCTTTCCAATGATATCCTGTGATGCGTCCATCCAATGGTTTTTGTTCCATTGTCCTTTTTAAGCCCTCCACATATTCCAAAGATTCATATTTGCCTTCAATTATAATAGATTCCTCATTAATTTGTACCAAAGGTTTTTCCTTGGTATCCCCAGAAATTAAACAAAACCTTGATTCATTTAAAGGTTGTTCAATTTCATATTCAATTGGATCCTCATCCTCAAAAGATTCCTCCTGATATTGTGTGATAATTCCTTTAGGTTTATCACCTTCATATTCAGGTTTTTCCCAACATGTGGCAGGGGTTCGACAGATCCTTCCTTGCCATTCAAATTTCATAATCCTTGTTTTATAATCAATTACTGTATGTGTTTTGGAAAACCAATTTCCTCCTACCATGACAGTATAGTCCTTTGAATCAGTTACTTCCATGTCAATTGGTATAATATTCCCTTTTATATTGATTGGAATATTTTTGACAATTCCTAATGACCTTTTCCTTCCTCCATGAATATCAATCATATTCATATTAAAGGGTAAATCCACTGTTCGATTAATTTTCCTTAAGAAGTTCTTTGTAATTACACTTCCTACAGCTCCTGTATCCAAAATTAGATAAGTTGGGTGGCCTTCCACCATAGCTTCACAATACATTGCATCCACCACTTGTTGTTGTTTAGTTTCCTCATTCCTTTCCATTAAAATATTTGCATTTGTGGAGGGTTTTTGTTCCTCAGCACTCCCACCTCCCAGGGGTGCCCTATTTAGTTTAAAGATTGCATTGTGGATTGAAGAACTTGGGACAGTTCCTTAACAGAAAGGTTCAAATAGGATTTACCATCCCTTTGATTATTGGGATTGTTGTTGGAATTATGGTTGGAGTTATTTCCTTGAGTATTGTTTTTGTTCCTGCAGAATTTTGCCCTATGTCCTTTTTTATGACATATGTTACATTCAGTAGCTGGTACCCTACATCTTTTTGAAGTGTGTCCTTTTTTGTCACAATTAAAACAAATAAATTCCTTGTTTGAATTATTTTTGTTTTGATTTGGCTGTTGAGTTTTCAAAGTTGATAAGTGAGATATTTGTTGAGTTAATCCTTTTAATGCCTCCTTTATGTTATTAATTTCATTTTGAGAAGAGGAAGATTCCTGGGTATAATAATGCCTTGTCAAGGAATATCCACTTAAAGGTAGGTCCTTTGATAACACATTTTCAGCCATTTTTGCTTTGGTAAGAGCTTCATTTAAATTATTTGATCCAGCCATTCCTACAGGTTCCCTCAATTCATTCCTTAATCCATTAATGAATTGAATAAGTTTATCCTGTACAGGATAATAGTTATCAGTATCAATTTTGTCATATAGTTGTGAAATTGCATCAAAGTATTCATCAACTGTTTCTCCTGGTTTTTGTGTCCTAGACCTTAATTCCATCATCCAGCGATTTTTTTGATGATCAGTACAGAATTGTGCTTTGAACCTTGGAACAAATACATCCTGTATTCGATCATCATGATCCCAATATACGATTCCATGTTTGCTATTTTGATACCAAGATTGAGCAGTTCCTTTCAAAACAGAAGCTACAATTTGTAACTTCCTATTATGAGAGTTTACTCGATTGGTTCCACAAGCAATTTCAAATTCCTTCAACCAATTTAGAGGATCCTGGTCACCTCCCCTAAATTCAGGATATTTAACAATTCCTGTTTCATGTGCTTTTTCCATGCCATTTATTGCAGTGGCCAAGCTATTGAGACTTTTGGACAGTTGTTTAAAAATTTCATTTTCATTGTTTAAAGCAAAGTTTACTGAAGTAGTTAATGGATTGGAAGGAGTTGTCCCTGAGCTGGTAGCAACGTATTTTTCCTTTTTGCTAGTCATTGGTATATCATGAATTTCAAGTGTTTGAAGATTATCGTCAGATAATTCAGATTTAGAAGAGGAAAATGATATGGGAATTTTTGTTTGAAGACTTTCAGTAGATATGTTTTCAGTATTAAAGAGTTTTTTCATTTGATTCATGAATTCTCTCCCTCAGTTTGACAATAAACAGAGTGGGATCCTTATGGACAACCCTAAACTGTCGTCGTCGCCAAATGTTATAATACAAGTTTTAAATGTCAAGGATAATATAATTAAATATAAGAAGAGTTTAAAAGAAAGATGTAAGGTTCAGCATAGAATCCTTGTAGTATAAGACTTTATGTCCAAGTGATTAGGGCTTTTTAAGAATCCCTTTATTAAATAAATCC